GATCGGAGAAATTGGTTTCCGAAACGAGATTCTGATTCCCGTGTCGATGCAAGTTGCTTCGATATTAAACTACACGCGTTGCAACCTAAGTGTCGTTAGACCAAAGTGTCGATGCATGCATCGTGACATATGTATGGAGACTCCGACTCTCTGGTTTGCGTGTTCTCAAAAAAGCGGACACGACCTATGAAACTGTGGAACGAGATCGAGTCGAATGCACCATACCGGGGGAAATTAACCGGCGGAAAAAAAAAAGTTCTGTTTCGAGAGAGAGAGCAAATCGAGTGGAACACGATGAGAAGTCGAATTAAAATTTAATCGATTCGGCAACCATGCGGCGCGCATTCGAAAAGGAGAAAGGTTAGCGGAGGCTAACCGATTTTTTCGCATTGTGATTATATACATTTGGCTCCGTGCTTTTATTAACAGATCAATGCGATCGGGAAACAAACGATTGCTGCCTGTAATTAATTAACAAAATTATGTTTGTATGCTCTACGTGCTCGCCGATCTGTTGACGCGCACCACCGCCTGGCCTCTACCCCTTCATTGTGACGTATTTAAATATGGAACGCGAAATTCATATTTATGCTGGCGCACGGGGTACATGTTGGTGGAAGAAGGGATCCGGGGAGGTAGGAAAAAATATACGTACGCGCGTGCACATACGAGGTCGAGTAAAACGTCATTTTCACGACACACTCGTCGGTTGATTGCAGTTACATTGGTTTCATACGCCGCTACGTTTCGCGATCCGTGATCCGTGCGCCAGCACTTCACTTGTGGTCCGCAAATATTCTCGTGCAATCGACGCGAAATATTTCACCCTTCGCGGAAAGGCATTAGCCTCGGAAATATTCGTGGAACGATAATCGCTCGGTCGACGAGAAACGAGAAAACGAAAACGAGATTAATTCTTCGACGATTTTTCACCTCTTGGTCTTCGAAAGCCTGAACCTCGACCTAACCTCCAGTTGTATGAAAGACCAAGGAGATTCTGATCGAGAGACATCGTATTTTAACCCTCATCTGTCCATTTGATGCTTTTTTTTCTTGTAAAATGTATATAAAACGTGAAAGACCACGATATAAAATTGAATTATTACACGCAATTGAATCAAGATTTAATCTATAAAGTTAATAAAAGAACCTGCAAATTTAATTATTTGCTTTCTCATCGTGACTACTTCAATCCTTGACAAATTGAATTAGAAAGAAACGAGAGTGAAGTCAACGATTTTAGAAAAGATCACACCTGTACCCTTAATCGTTCTAGAATTCACTAACTCGAGTCTTCGCATAATAGCGAACTAGACGATGTTCTACGAACGAGGGGCAAAGACGATGGAAGATTTTGGTGGAGAAGCGGGATCGAAAGTGTTGCTCAACGTGTGTTGCAGGTGGTGAAACCGGCCATCACGGAGAAGTTTGTCGTGGCAACGACCGAGGGGAACCCAGCGAAATTAGAGATCAGATTGTGTTCCGACCCGAAGCCCCGGCTCGTGGCTTGGGAATGGGGCAGCACCAGACTCCACGCCGGTTAGACTGCTTCCTAGCTCTACCGCCAAAAGTATTCGAGTCTTTGGTTTGCTCT